TGCTGGAGCACAGGGTGTTCCAGCCTCATCCCGCCGCGGCCCTGCCAATTCCCTCCCTGCAGGACAGGCAGCTCCCCTGCGGGACGCTGCGCCCCCCCTTTGGCTCCCGCACGCTGCCAGAGCAGCAGAAAGGGGCCAGAGCGGGGTCTGGAGTCTGGCCAGCAGTGAGACACCGGGAATGATTTGTTCTGTGTCACCCGGAGCCTTTAGGCCTCGGGTGTAAATATGCCAAGTTCTAAACCCTCAAGCGCCAAGTTCAATCCTGGCCGTTGGAGTCGGCTATTAGTTCTGCAGCAGCTTCCTCCAGGACACCCAGCCAGGGCAGGGCCGCAGCCGGTGTGCAGGTGACCCCCCCGAGCGTGAGCCGGCGAGGTCTGGTGTCTGGGGAAGAGAACCAGCCCTAGACGAACCCCATCGCCCAGCTCCCGGCGAGATGTTTGTGGAGAAGCTGGTTGTTACCTGGAGCGCCCGGTCCGAGGGATCCCGGAGCTGGACTGAGCTGGAGCGGCGCGGTGTCGTGCGCTGGAAGGTGCCGCCGGGGCAGGTGCAAGCTGGCAGCATTTTCGTAACTTCTGCGAGACCTTCCCTCTCGCCTGGCAATGTGACTGGCTGGAGTGGCCAGCGCGAGAGGGGGGAACTTCATCCCCTCCGCTTGTGCCTCTCCAGATCAGTCAGACAGCGACTGGCCTTGGAGGCCACCTCTCCCTGACCCCGCCCTGAACACGGCGTCTGATACCCCGGCACCCTTCTAACCCTCCCAGCGGAGCTGCGGGTTTTATTATTCTTCGTACGGGTGTCCAGCCCTTTTCTGCACCTCACTCACTAACCCCTCTGCCTGGGCAGTGGCTTGTGGCCGAGCGTTCCTCTGACTGACAGCGGTGTGAGAGAACACTCCCTGTTCCATTGTGTGGGGCTGCCCTTGTCCTTGTGCGCTCAGGAACCCCCCATTCTCCTTCTCTAGGCCGGCCGTTTTCTCTTTCACTTCGGTTTTTCTCCTCCCTTAAGGAAGGGCTCCAACTATTTAAATCCGACTTCCCCTGCGTTTCCAAGACGCACCCCTGTGCCTTTGCTGTACCCGTCTGGCGGCGCGGCGGCGATTTGCCTGGGGTCCGGAAGTGACTCGGTGGCGGGACTAGAACCGGAGACCAGGAGGCCTCCCTCACAGCCATGTGCTCTCGCCACAGCTCCCAAGGGACGTCTCTGGGAGCTGGTTCTGTCGAGGGGAAGGTGGGCCATGCAGTGGGTGCAGCTGATGGCACAGCGGTTCGGGACGACCCGGCGGAGGGAGGTTGTGTAACGTCTTTGCTAGAGGGCCTGTCGCAGGGAGGAGCCGTTCTCGTGCAGAGTCTCAATCGATGGAACAATAAAACTCCACTGGTTCACTGGTATGTCCCATCAGCCCCACCAGCACAGCAGCAACTGCCCCAGCTGGGAGGGGGTGGGAGGCAGGGGCCTTTTCCCAGGCGCAGCTAAACTTGCCCTCCGTTCGGCTCTGCGGGGCTGGGAGCCCCAGGAGCGCTCGGATGCAGGGAGAGCAGGCTGTTCAGCCTGCGTGTGAACAGGAGAGCCGTTCTCTGGCTCCAGATGTTTCCTCGCCCTCGTCAGAGCCCTCCCCCCCGCCTTCCCCAAACTGCCTCCTCTCCAAAGGCGTTTTTAGCTCTGCTCAGCCCGCTCTGTGGCTCTGCTCCTCCTCTCGCTGGAGCCTCCGGAACCGCACGCGGTCCTGTGGAATGTGCCCGTCCGCGCAGCTGCTGGAAGTCGATCGTTTCCACCCAAGAGAAACACGAGAACTTTCTCGCTGGGCCTGGGAGCTTCCTCCCGCAGGCCTCTCGCTCTCTCCGTGGTTTCTCTTCCCTCGGGCCCTGTTCTCCTAGCAGTCCTGCGTGGGGCTGCCGCCCTTCCCCGA